AGCTATATCTATCCAAGTTCTCGATACTTGTTATTATCTTTAGAACTAGTTTATTCTTGACAGAAAACTTACTAGAGCCTTTATGTTCCATATATATAAATCTAGTTTTATGCAACGTGCTATAGTTATCTAATACTTGCAGTCATAGGAGTTACCTGTTTAACTGCTACATTACATTATTTCTACCTTTGTAAAGTTTACTAAAACCCCAGTATCTATCTTTCTATCATCTTCTTTATCATCTCCTACTAGCCACAACTCAGAACCATTAGTCTTATTCCAGACTACCAATCCAAATGGCTTGGTATGGTATACTCTATATTCTTTTTCTCTGATGAATCTGGCAGCCTGATTGGTTATATGCTCCTTTATATATATTTGATATCTGGTTTTAACCTTTGGTTCCTATGAAGGTGTTTTGTGATCTTCAACCAGTCTAATAGTACTGTCAAAAATTCATACTATCTTTTTACTTGAGAATTTTCAAGTGAGTTTCTGTTATTTTGGTTTCTTAGTCTTCTATGCCTAATGGTCTTATTGTAGGTTTGCACTGAAGTCTTATGCAATATTGGTTATACATTCCTCTATATATGTGTAACATTACACTTTGCATAGATGCCCAAGCTTCCAATGTTAGTAGAACCCAACTTGATGTACCTGAGTAACAGTCATATGAGACTAACCAATCGACAGAAGACAGTTATTTTAATGCAAATATAATTTTTAAATTTTATCATAGATGAGATTTGAATCTTAGACCTGCCACTTAAAGGATGACAACCCAACTACTACACTAGGATTACCATTCTTTGATAAGATATAATTTAATAAAATATTATATAAATAAATCATATATTAATCTTTATTCTATATAATTAATTAGTAAACAGACATTAATATAAATATATCTAGAGATTCATAAGATTAAAATATATATATAATTTGTAAATATATTAGTAATAATAGATGTTATGAAGATATAAAATTGTTAAGAGTTTGAATTGTATTAAAGTTAGTTTTGTATAAATGATTTAGTTTATTTTATTTTTTTTAATTAGCAAGATTTGTACAATAAGGTTTTTATAGTTGATTATAAAATTAGTTATTACTTTAAGTAGCAAATTAATAATAATATTAGATGCTGTTTTATAAAAAATATTAAAGTTAAAGAATGGTGATCCTAGTGTAGTAGTTGGGTTGTTATCCTTCAAGTAGCAGGTCTAAGATTCAAATTCCACCTATAATGAAATTTGGAAATTATATTTGCATTACAGTAACTGTCTTCTGTTAATTAGCTGGCCTCATATGGCTGTTACCCAGGTACACCAAGTCAGGTTCTACTGATATTAGGAGCTTGGGCATCTATGCGAAGTGTAATATTACATGTACATAGAAAAATGTATAACTGGTGTTGTATAAGGCTTCAGTGCAAACCCATAATAAGACCATCAGGCATAGAAGACTAAGAAACTGAGGTAACAGAAACCCACTTGGAAATTCTTAAGTAAAGAGGTAAAATGAACTTTTAACAGTACTATCAAAGGATTTGAAACCGGAAGAATTAGAAAAGGAAAGAGTAAATCAGTTAGCAACTTACCTGAAGATAAGAAAATAAAGCAAGACAGAACGTACCTTGATGACGCCGAAGATTTCGAGCCCGATATTGTTGACTTGAAAAACAGAGTTGGAGTCGAAAAGGATGACCATAAAGCCTTCAAATACTTCCAAAAATCTGCAGAGATGGGGAATGCTAACGAAACAAGGAAAATTGGACCTTGTTATCGAAATGGAATTGGAGTCGAAAAAGGTGAACGTAAAACCTTCAAACATCGTCAAAAATCTGCAGAAATGGAGAACGCCGATGGAGCAAAAACTTGTTATCGAAATAGAACTGGAGTCGAAAAGGATAAGCTTGAAGCCTTTGGAAACTATCAAAAATCTGCAGAAATGGAGAATGTTGATGGAACATATAACGTTGGATATCGATATAAAAAAGGAATCGAAGCTAAAAAGGAAGAACATGAGGCACCCCCTCATTATCAAAAACTTGATGATACGCAAGATGAAAAGGAAGTGTTTAGAACGCCTTCCAAGATCGCTGAAGGGAAATTCGAACCTGATCATGATGAAGCTGAAAATGGTGAAACCGATGAAAGTAATGACGACAATGATAACGGAAATGATGATGGAATCAGAGTTGAAAAGGATAACCATAAGGCCTGCAAATACTATCAACAATCTGCAGAAATGGGGAATGCTGATGGAACATATTATGTTGAATCCTGTTATAAAAATGGAATTGAAGTTGAAAAGGACAGCCATCAAGCATTGGACGATGATAATGATGATGATAATGACGATGGTAATCATGACGACAATAATGATGATGACGATGATAATATGATCTGTGATAAAGAAAATGAGGGAACTAAGATTGAAAAAGATACAGGCCAGAAAGCAATGAATAACCCATCTTCTAAACTTGAGAGGTTCGAAGCAGCAAATGATCGACCGCTTTATGGGCTCAAACTACCCGATCTCCGAATGATCTGTGAGAGATGGATAAATAAAGTGAGTAAGTATAAAATGATGTACAAGGAAGAATTAGAAAAAGATGTATTGTACCTTCTTGAACTTGAGGCACCAACAAACCGAAATAGAATAGGAAAACATAAGGCAAGAAGAATCAGAAAGTTTATCAAACATGTAGAGAGACCAAATTCGGAAGAAAATAGATCGTGTGTGCATAAATCGAGGCCAGACCAAAAGTGTAAAGGAATAAGGCTGAAAACCGATGTCGAACTTGTTGGACTAGAAGGAAAGTCATAGGAATTAGAAAAACCAAAGCAAGACGACAAAAAAATATATCACAAAGAATTAGTTAAACCTACCTTCCAAGTGAAGCTAATGCCAAAGGAACCCAAATCAATACCACCCGAAGAAGAGACTGATGAAGTCGCAGAATGGGTGTCGAAACCTGGAGAGGCTGAGGAGTTGACGCGAGACGAAGGAAGGTTGGCTCGAAAGGACATCGATGAACTGAACAGCAAAGAAACTGCAACGCAGATTGAACCCGAACCACCACCTGCGAGAGAAGCTAATAACAATAAAGAAAGAGTACCTAAAGATAAAACACAGAAGAGAGAAATTAGTAAAATGGATTAAAAATGAAAAGACAAAGAACCAGAAGAATACTTCCCTCCTGTAATTAATCCACGAAAGAACTCCACCACTGAAGCATGATGACTTGAAGTTTCTGTGAAGCTCCTATTTATGCGTAGTACGCATAAACTAAGTGAAGGAGAAATGTGAGCCCGATTTTTGAGATCATGGGTACCCGAATCGAAGCGACGATCCTTACCCGATCCTTACCCGATCCAAAGTCATGCGAAAAGTAACGGAAATGTTACTTCTGTTACTTTTCTTATTTCCGTTACTTCTGTTACTTATGCTATTTCTTTTACTTATAAGAAAAATGAGATATCGGCCTTTTCTTAAATATAATTAGGATGTAACAGATATTAGATTTATGTTAGAAATTAATGACCAATGTAAATAAGAGTTTTATTATAAATAAAGGGCCTTCCACCCAGAGGGAGAAAAAGAAGCGATACCCCCAAGTAAATACAACTGCTTAAATAAACTCAAAGTATCAGACCCATATTAAAAGTAAACTGTAACCCAAACTGAAAACT